TCCGCACAGGACCGGGGCCGGCTGTCACCCACACCGTCAGCGCGGTGGTGCGTGGGAGTGGGTTCGACGGTGACACCGGGCTCAATGGGTACAAACACAGGCGCAGCAAAGGCTTTGGCAGGGGATTTCGCTCAGCGAGGAGGTGCCGTCCCTGGCAGCACAGTGTGGGTCCAGGCCAGGGCATCACAGCCACCTGCACCTCCACGCCAGGCCCATCACAACCCCAGCCAGGCGGGAATGCTCACCCCCACAGAGCCAAGATGCACCCCTTAGCCAAGACAACGCTCTACTCATCACTGCAGGGCCAAATTTGGGGGGGTTTTTATGCCTGACTTGGTCCGTCACCAGGAAACCCGCGCGAGAGGAGCAGCCCTGGTCACCCCTGAGTGTTCTGTGGCGGCAGGGTCTGATCTGCCGTGCTGACAAGGATCTGCACTGCAATATGGAAACCAGCGAGCTGCTGTGTACGGGTACCCGCAGCGAGGATTCAAACCCAAAAGCAGTGCTGTTCTGAGGCAGGAGCAGCCACGAGCACACCCGGGCTCGGGGACCACATCCCAGGGCAGCACAGACTCCATGGTGGGGGCAAACCCTGCTCCGGGCAGCCGGGGCGACCCCGCACAGAACGGGGCAACGAGGCAGCACCCGAAACTTGGCCTTTTTGGGCTTACACACAGAGCCCAGGCGGTGTCTGCCCAAGGCACCACCATGGCAACCCTCAGCAGCGCAACCCAGCCCCAATTGCAGCGCCAGCCCGCGGGGCAGGCTCTGGTATCGCATACACCATTATTAAAGGGTAATTCGGTGTAACAAACCGCATCAAGTACACAGAAAGGCTGTCAAATAAAATAAACCGCTAATAAATTAAATTATTTTCCGTTTTCAGGAAGGGAGGGGGGGAATGCCAGTCATTTTTAATTTAAAACAAAATACATCTTAATTCTTCTCCCTGCCTTCAGCAGGCACCCCCTGCAAAGGAGCCGCTCCTGCTCGAGGCGCGCACACGCAGTCGCTCTCCCTCGTCTGGCGAAGGCGTCCCCGTCTGTGAGCCGATGAGGCCCCAATCCTCCACACCGAGACGGGAGTCACCCCCTGCACCAGCGCTGCCGGGAACCCCCTCCTGGGACACCACGGGAGCCAGAAACCCCTGAATGCCGGGTCCTGAGGGAGCGCCCAGCGCAGAGCAGCCCTGCCCCAGGGAGCACCTGGCATCGCCGGGGCCTCTCCTGAACACACGATCCACACCATGATCTGCACCACGACCCACGCCGTGACCCACACCGTGACCCGCACCACGACCCACACCATAACCCGCACCATGACCGCGCGGTGACTTCGGTGCCAAAAAGTAGGCGAGCGTGCAGCACGACACACTGAGCTGCGTTAGGGCAATGCCAGTGACTCGTGGAAATGGCAAAATTCCGTCTTTCTTCATTTCTGTGGCCATGCTTTGATGGCGATCATTTGGAACTGATTAGTTCCGCCATGTGCGTTTTACGGCCAAAAAACACCGAATGTTTCACGTTACTTGGCCATTTAAATGATAATGTCCTGGAGGACGCAGACAACGACAGACAGATCTCTGCTGGGGCAGATCGCAACAGCACCCGTCCCCAAAGCATCCCCAAAATGTCCCCATCCCCGCCCCATGGGGCTGCCCACGGATGCTGCAGGGACCCAGCACGGCCTCCCCAGGAAACTGGGAGCCAAGAACTGCGAGTGCTTTGGTAAAACAGGAGCTCTAACACCATTTATGAGGGATTTCGCTGTGACTGAGACTGTGAAGTGGCAGCTCAGCCTGACGGCTGCAGGGTGGTTTTAAACCCCTTTTTCGCCTATTTGGGCTCAAAATTTAAACTGTGGATGGATGCGGCTCTACTCCAAAGCGGAGCACCCCAGGGCATCAAACACCAAAGACACCGCACTGCAGCGAAGCGGTCACTGCTGTGTAAGTGTCTGAGTCAAACCATGGCATCAGCGGACGCCTCCTCCATCGCCGTCCTCGGGAACAGCCGGCGCGCACAGGCAGACGCTCACAACCGGCCACTACCGGGAGTGCGCGGACTGAAGCAAACGACGGCCGAGACTTCTGGGGCAGAGAGCGGACTGCGGTAGTGCCCACATCTCGGGTCTCTCCATGCGATGCAGGGGTGCTCCGGGGGTGAGCGGGACGTGGTGCACGGCATCACTTCAGGGCGAGCGCCTGCACAACACCCGGGTTGATTTTTCAGCTCAAAGGGCAGCCCAAAAGGTAGAAATGCTCTCTCAAAAGGGTAACAGGTTTCCTTTCTGCACGTCCAACTCCGTGTTCCCGTAGTGAAATGTTTTGCTCAAGAGGTTACGTTGATGTTTTGGCAATTTTAAAACAGCTTGTGTTACAAAGGAAAAGAAATATGTGTCACATTTATCCTGGGCTCTTGAGCTGCTTCACCTCCCCCAGAAATCCAACGTGCTTAAGGAGCAGACCAGAAATAAAACCAAATCGATATTCAGAAATTGCTCCCTTGTGAACGCTGACCGTGCATTTGGTGCTGTTTGTGGTTTCCAAAGCGCATTGGGTGCTCAGGAGATCCCTGGGCACGGGACTCACACCGACCCACAGCTGAGCAGGGCACGGGCGCCGAGACGGGAGACGGAGGTGAAGCAGCGACCGGCATCTCCTGGGGAATCCCAGGGCTTTCCCAGCGCATTTACCCGCAGCACGAACCACAGCAACACCCCTGAGCGCTGCCGCTTCTCACATCCTGCCCCAGCCCCACATCCCTGCTGGGATAACCCCACTGGGATAACCCCACTGCGATAAGCCCAGCCCCACATCCCCATTGGGATAACCCCACTGCGATAACCCCAGCCCCACATCCCTGCTGGGATAACCCCATTGGAATAACCCCACTGCGATAAGCCCAGCCCCACATCCCCATTGGGATAACCCCATTGGGATAACCCCAGCTCCTGCATCCTGACCCCGCAAACCGCCCCGCCGGCTACGTGGGCACTGGCACACATGGCTGGAAATGCTGCCCAGGCCAGGACAGCAGGTACCCATGCAGGAAACCCCACGTCTGCTGGTGCTGTGCTGGAAAATGCTGGCTGGTCACTGGGAGCAACACGGTACGAGGCGAGAATTAACCAGGGTCCTCGGTGGCCTCATCTGCAGAGGGACCGGGACCCGCATGGGGAATCACTGCAGCAATTTCATACGTGCAAATATAAACCCCCGAGCACTCAGAATGCAAATTCTGACAGGTTGTTAATAAATTAAAAGCTGGTCTGGTCTGATTAATGTACTGCACACTTGGCATTTCTAGGCCTCCGGGTCCACAGTTACTGTCTGCTTCTGCTCGAGCGCCAAGCCGGGGGAGTGCGGCTTCTCCCCGTTCACAGGGGGCACCCAGATCACTGATAGAGACCATGCTTGGGGTCTCCAGCGTTGCCTGTACCTGCTGCCTGTACCCGCTGCCTGTACCTGCTGCTGGAGCCCTGGGGGCTCAGGGTGAGCTCTGACTGGATTAATGAGGCACGCACAGCCTCAGGCCGGAGCTGGCTCTTTACATGCAAATTAAAGATCATTAATTGCTGTTCCAGGGCAGTGCTGGTGAAGCCACAGTTCCCATCACCGCTGGCCGGTACAGCCGCATGCAGGTGACACCGGCAGTGATTCACACCCACAGCCCCGAGCAGAAAGGCCCCTGGACAGCGCCCGCGCTCACCCGCAGCATGGTGATCATGGAGGGGTCCCGCAGGCGGCCGTCCTCATCCTTGAGGTTGTATCCCTCCGGCCGCTTGTCCCGCTCGCTGACCTTCCATAGCTTCACCGTCTTATCTGCAGGCACGAGAGGACGGCGTTAGACAGGGCTGTGCCCGCGGACACCGCGGCCACGCCACCACCGCACCACGGCCATGCCATGACCCTGTGTTTTATGGCCGTGACGAGGCTGCTGCGTCCCCACCCGCAGCGTCCGGAGCCAAGGACCCCAGGACTGAGTGGTTTACTCTGAACAGTGGCGTTCTCCTCCCCTGTCCTGGCTCTATCAGCAGTTTATCATCACATCCAGGTCCGTACACAACCCTGTCATCCATCTTCATTTTCTTCTTTACGTAGCAGTTCCAACAGAGTGCCATTAATTTCGGTTTTATTAACCGCTGTACTTCAGGGGGTTTCTATATGTAACGTTAGTTTAATGGTACGAGCAAACCGAAACGGCGTAACACGGGAGTACTTCTATAGGAACCATCTCGATAACCTGCCAGCATGTGAAGCACCATCCCAAATGGAAAGATAATATCCTTGTTAATCAAAAAACTATTTAAAAACTCAATTAACAGAACATTATGCTCTATAATTAATCTTCATTCCATTTCAATGATTCTCCCCCCAAATGAGTTTAATAAGCCTTTGAATTTTATTACAATGATCAATAGAGTCAATTCTATAATACAAAGTAAGTTGGTTATGGAAGATAATTAGACCCCTCCTTTCCCCTGAAGTAATTAAGTCGCATCCATCTTAAGGTCCCATTCATCCCCAGTAATATTCCCGGGTCCTCCTGATATTTATCGGAACGTGGCACGGAACAGCTGAGCTGAACGCAGCCGCGCGTGGGAACGAATGAGGGGCAGCTTTTCTTTACAATTAAAAAAGGGTAAAAAAAAATAATAACAAAACAAGTTCCAGGATCCACAAAATAAACACTGCAAGTTGTGAGCGGGGGGAAAAGACTCGCAGGGAGCGGACGCTGTGAAATAAGGAGAAAGCCTCGTACACGGGCAGCTCCTGCACCCCTGACCCCGTTACCCCGAGGGGACGCGGCGCTGTTTTAAGGGGTGTTTCGCCCCTCACCGTTGGTGGAGAGCAGGAAGTAGGCGGCATTCTGCTGCGGCAGCCATCGGATCTTGTTGATCTTCTCCTCGATCTCCAGGCTCTTCAGGTAATCGAACTCGGGCTCGTGGCTCTGGAAGGTGCTGTAGACATTGTACTCGCCGCGGCGGTGCGGCTGGTGCTTGCTCTGCGGGACGGGAAGGGGAACGGGGGGGCCTGAGGCACGGCCCAGGGACCCCCCGTCTGC